TGACTTGTGATTTAAATGGGAAAAGCTCCAGAAATGGCACTGTCAGGTCTGAAAGTGAGTGACTCACACTCAAAAGGTCCTTTCCATTTACTGACATATATTAGGTTTTCTACCTAATAAAATATATTGCCTTTCCTACAGACCAACACCAATGAACAGTGACATTTCAGCTAACTAGACAAACTAGCTAACTTGTGTGTGAGGTGGCATCATTTGAGTCAGTTTTCTACTCTCAGAGGGGTTTTTTCCACCAGGGATACTCATTGCCAGCAGGTGGCAACCATGCTAAAGCAAAATTCCTGGTGAAGTTTCAACTGGTAAAATGAGTTTTCCTTCGCTGTTAGCACCTTTAGTATGGAGAAGGCAACGCAATGATTTTGTTCTCACATATCTCTTTCCGTTTTCTGAAAGGGAAGAATGAAATTGCCGTCGTGAGGTATTGAGGTTTGTCAGTTTTGGTGTTGGGTTGCTGAGGGCATTGACCCAACCGAACTGCCCTGAGCAGCCTCACCTGGGGCTCCACCCACACCCTCACCCATTGCTCCAGAGCCCATTTAAGCTGGGAACTGCAGCCCTATCTTCTGTTGTTTTGCTTGTCCTGCACTATCCTGGTGGAATTTGGAAAGGTAAGAGCCAGGCTTGGTATGTGTAGAGCTGGGGAAAGCTTGAGAGAAAAAATTTAGCTGCGACAGCCTCCCTAAAAACAGTAATATATATGTCTTGCAGGGCTAAGGAGTGTGAGAATGAGCTTTCCAAGCTCTCATATGGTGTTTCTGATCTCCAAACTCTTCCTCTCAAGTTGTGGTTGTGTTCAAGCAGTTTAACTATTTACTTGTTAAAGAACAAACTTTTTCTGCAGTGCTTGCTAGAGTTTCTCTTGTGGCTCACAAAACACTTTAATTTTGTTACAAATCTACTGTATTTTATTTACAGCAGGTAAAATGCAACATATATATAGCAAAGACACCAGTAACATAAATTTTTTCTTGTGAAAGAAGGACCAGTCTGTTTTTCCCTAGGAAGTTTATTTCATTAATCACTCTTAAATAAATATATAGTTGACCATTTAACAGGAATAATTAGTTAAAAGTAATTTCTAACACAAATTCCCACAGTTGTCATAGTACTTGTATGGGGTATTGTTTAAAACTATTTTTGAGACTCAAATCTTCCTTTTCGTCTAAATTTAACTTGTGTTAATAGTTCAGGAAGGAGGGAATTTGGGGTGGGGTGGAAGATGGGCATCCCTCAAAATCAAAAAGAAAGGCCTAACACATAGGCATATAGATGGACATGAAAATGATTTCTTTTCTCTTCCAAATACTCATCCTCTGTCCATGTTATTGATATTTCATTGAAATGCTGAGTAGCTCTGCTTCATGAAACAATCCTCCTAATAACATGGCAATAAAGAACTGAGCATTGCATCGGTCTGAAAACTGCTCTCCAGCTTCTGCTGTGCAGCAGATGGCAATAAAGCACCACTATGTGGTACAAGTATCGCTCTGGAAAGGAAATTTTCTCTCCTTAATAATTCAGAGTGTGTCATTAAAAATAGGAATATGGACATGCATCTCTGAGTAGTTGGAAGAAGCAAAGAGAGGTGAAATACAAGAGTTGCAAGGGAGCAGGACAAACTATGTGGATGATGCTGATGATTATAATCAGACACAGATGTTACATGTAAATGAAAGAATGAATGTTGTGCATTTACTGGCCATCCCTTCAGTCTGGAAAGTTGCCCCTGAAAAGCTTCAGGAGGGCAGAAATCTGTGAGCCCCAACCCACTGTTCAAGAAGTTCTGCATTCCAGCAACTTCCGGAAACTTTTCCGAAAACTGTCATCCAGGAAAGCATACAAGAAAGGATTCAGGCATGAATTCGCATAGCTTAGGCTGGTGATGAAGTAGGAGATACCAATGACCATGGAGGTCTGGGGCAAGTCAGTGGTCAAAGCCACGATAGTGGCCAAGTGGAAGGGGGTCCAACAGAAGAGGAACACAGCCAGGACTATGAAGACCATAATAGTGACTTTCTTCTTGGCTTTGTCCAGGGCTTTAGCATTAGAGTTCAAGTGCATGTTCCTTAGCTTGTAGAGCATCATGGTGTAGAGGATGCAGATGGTGGATACCGGAATGGCAAAGCCAAGGATGAGGGTATAGATCCTGCTAGCTTTGAACCAAAACCTTTCAGGCTTGGGGAAATTGAGAACACAACTCTTGATCTCCAGGTCATCAATGTAGACATTGGCAAAGATGATGAAAGGGAGAACTATGATGGTGACTAGGATCCAGATGCACAAGCTGATGATCCTCGCTGCTCGGTAGGTACGATGGGGCATCCTCTTGGACCTTACTGTAGCCAGTACCACCAGATACCTGTCAATGCTCATCACTGTTAGGAAATAAATGCTGGAGAAGATATTATAGTGGTCTATGGACAAGATGACCTTGCAGAGGACTTCTCCAAAGGGCCAGTAGCGGAGGAGGTGTTCTGCAATATTAATGGGCAAGACAAGTGTGAACAAGTCATCAGCTATAGCAAGGTTCAGGATGAACATGTTTGTCACAGTCTTCATCTTGGGGGCCTTGAGGATCACATAGATGACAGCAGTGTTGCCTGTGAGCCCAACAGCACAGATCACAGAATAAATCACAGGAAGGACAACATAGAAATCAGTTGCCTGTTCTTGGAAGGTGAAGTTGAACCTCATGCTGTTGTCCAGGTAGCAGCTGTTGCCTGCATTGCTGCAGGTGCTGTTTGGATCATCCCAAAAAGCACTGTTTCCCATGCCTGCTGGTCACACACCACCTTCAGATGGCACTGAAAGCCTTGCTAGCCCAAAAGGGAGAGCTTTATTTTTTTTTTTTTTCCTCTCCTGTGGGAAGCAGCTGTAATCTCATTTAGAAGCAGGTTATTTTCAGAGGTGGGTTGTGAGGCAGCATGGACCACCTAACTTACCTCTCCTGTCCGCCCCTGTTGCAGAAATTAGATTTTGAAGTAATGATGGTACAAAAAAAATGTTTGAAAGATACATAAGGCTCCATGAACAAAGCAAATAGGAGAATTATAACTCCCCGTGTAAGTCAAGGAACTCTTCTTTCCAAGAGCATTCCGGTGAGCTTTGGCTTTTTCTCTGCTGGGGAAGTCGAGAGGCTCCACTTCAGCTGTCTGCAGTGAGTTCTTCTGGGGCTGGCAGGAACAAGGAGGCAGAGAGGGAGCTTTGTGCCTGGCCGGCTGTTCACAGCCCTCAGAGGACTTGAGAGATGTCTGCTGTTTCACTGGCACAGCACTTGCTTTCTGAGCCGGAGCAGAAACCTCGCAGTGGTTAATTAGTGCCTGCCTTTGTGTCCAGTTCAGGCTCTTCATTGACAGATTTCACTAAACAATTAAGAAGTTTCTGACACTGCTGCTCCCCACTCTCAGGATCCCCTAGCAAAAGAAGGAGGGGGGGAAACAGTTCAGGAAGTATTTCCAAAACTAAGGGTTAAAGGTGCTTAACCCACAATCAAAGTAACCCTTTAAGCAAGACTGGGTTATGGTCTAATTCAATATGAAGACCATCCCCAGTACAAGCAACTGGCAGCACACAAAACTTGGCACAGCTGGACAGACAAACCTGTAAATCTCAGAAGTTCAGGATTAACCAGGGAAGAGGGGGGAAAAGTACCTTGAAAGCGAATCCACTTTAGAGTCACGGTGAGAATTACCCTATCTGTAGCAGTTGCCACATCCATCACTATCGCCTGACCCATACCTCCAAGAATTCCTCTGCAGACAATGAACAAACAACTGACCACCCCCACCCCCCCACCCCCCCCCGGTGAAGACCAAAGATTTGGCAACTAGTCCCCAGGCTCTGCAAGGAGAAGTGCTTTCCTTCTCTTGCATTTTGTTGTCGCACAGCAATAAAGTGAGCAGGACTGCTGGCACTGGGGATGGAGGGCTGGAGTATCCCTTACCTGGTTAGCGGCTCTGCTGCCTCCTCCAACACCTGCTGCTTGCACTGGTGAGCCTCTTCTGTCTACTCCGAGTTGGAGGAGGGTCTCTGGGATGCTGACGTTACCCGGCTTTGCAATCATATCAGCATGGTGCCTCTGTGTGTGTGCATTGCATGTCTGAGCAATTAGCCCTTGCTCATGCCAGAGAAAGGGGTAAAAAAGGGTTTTCTCTCTGCAGGACTATTTAAATAGTAAATAAGGTAGATGCTGGCGAGCAGCTGATGCTCCAGGGCTGTTCTCCTCCTCAGGAATGAGGGGGATGTTGAGGGACACAGGCAGCACCCAGGGCTGGTTGAATGAGGGATGTGTGAAACTGTGGGAAAGGGGTGTGTGTGTCTGTGAGAAACTGCTTCAACAGGGAACAGTGGCTGGTTTAACAAAGGAAGATGCCTTTGTGAGTGGGAGGAGGGTAAGCAATGTTATAGCTTTCAAAATGAGCAAATAAACAGATGTGCCTTGCCAAATCTGTGTAGTTTCAGCTGCTCTGGGGTAGTTTGGCTGTTTCTTCTTTCCTCTTAGGTCTCTGGTCCAGCTTTGGAAATGTGGTGAAATCCTTCAAACGTGCATCAGGAGGTGCAGGAGTCCCGTGAAGCTTGATGGAAATGCACCCCAAGTTATAGAGCAAACCCACCAACAATATAAGATCACTTTACTGATGTGACCTTAGAAAAAGAAGCAGCAGGAAACCAAGGGTGTTTTGACTCTCCTTTAGTCTTTTAAATGTTGCCTGATCTGTTGTAGGTGTTCGCACACTTCTGACAAGATTATGCACGAGTAACTGGGTAAGAACAAAAACTTCACTGCACTAAGAGGTAACATTTTAAGGCTATGGGTATTACTGACTTTTCAGCAGATGGGAATATTTCTATGCCCGGTGTACAACTCTTCCAGGTATTTTCTGTGTCTTGGCCAAAATGTGACCAGATGTTAAACTTAAGGAAAATTAAACAGAAATTATATTGCCCAAAAGATGTGTATGAATGACAAGAATGATATTTCTTCAGATGAGACACCCCCAGAACCTCCTTCTTGCCTGTCTTGGGAAAGATGGTGCAGTTTGTAAGTAGTTGTAAATGAAGCAAGGTATTGGTAGGTCTGCAAGGGGAAGGCAATTTCCAGGAATTGCTGTTGTCTTTTTTTTTTAAATTTTATTTTTGGAAAAGAAAATGCAGGAAGGCAGAGAAATTCAGGAAAATGTGGAGTTACCTTTGCTGTTCTAGAACTCTTACCCAGGACAAAAGGGTTTGAAAGTATTTTGCATCCACAATCCTTTAATTGAGGCTTTCTGGTTTTCAGCATGAAATACACTTCTGGTCTCTGGGAGAATTTAAAAGCCATTTAATTTCACTCCCCAAACTATGTTATCTTGGAATTGGTATCACGCTGCCCTGGCCAGTGGTCATGTGCACAGGTACTGCATGTTTTAGGGACCATGATGAGGAGTTGGGCAGGGCTGCAGGGGCTGCAGTGCTGGTGTAGTTCCCTTGTGCTTTTCCTACTCCCTTGTGCCTTACTCCTCATTATCCATAGTGAGCATGGTCTCCGTGCCTTGGTTAGGATATGCTTGATTAAAATAACCTGTCAGAGACGAGATGGAGACTAATCTCATTGCCTGGTGTGAGTAGAGGGACTTTGCTACTCATATCCCCCAAACAAATTACCAGCACGTGCTTTCTGAGCTGTGCTCCTTGCCTAGCTCTCTAGTAAAACTCTCTGGCTTTGGAGAGAACAATTGCTAGCAGATCTAAATTCATGGAGGAAATTGCTTTGCAGCAGGAGCCCTTCCACCAACAGAAAAAATCTGGCCCTGTGTGGGTCTGCATCTGACCAGAGCCAGTGGCTGTGCATGGAGGACACACATCATGTGTATTGGTGTGATGGGGAGTCCTTGGAGGAAAGGCTGAGAGGCTCTTTTATTCATCTTGTGTCCTCTGGCTGGGCATCCCTTCCACTCGATTCTGAATGTTATGGTGGCACAAACTCTGAAAATTAAGCTCTGTTTTGAAGATGCTGTTATGAAGGACATGAGCTGTGTCTTCCCTCAGAGCTGTTTGGACCTCCTCTTTCAGCAGCAGCTCCATCATCAGTACTGTGCAACAGGAGCAAAGTTTCTATTCCTGGCAAATCCATGCCATGAAGATGGACTTTGCTTCTTGAAACCCACATTCACACTGTGCAGCTTGAGTCAGCTGTGCAAACTGAAAAAAGGTAGCATTTTAGGGAGGGGGAAATTCCTACCAATGCTAAATCAATGGTGCTTTATTGCCTTCATAAAGCCGATGTGCTGCTGACTCCAGAAAAAGGCAATCCATCCATGTTGGAGTTAAGGAGAACCTGTTTTATTGGGCTCCTGCTGCTGTCAAAAAGTCAAGTTCATGTCAAGGACACAGATATACAATCAATATTCTGTTTACCAAAACAAAATGTTCTCGGCTGACTGTCTTGCAGTCCCTGGTTATTAGGGTGATTTATTTGTATGAGGTGTTCAGGCTTTTCAAAAGCACTTCATGTTAATAATTGAGTCAAGGAATATTTTGGATTGGAAGGGACATTTAAAGGTCAACCCCCTTGCAATAAGCAGGGATTTTGTCAACTAGATCAGATTGCTCAGAACCCAATCCAGCTTGACCTTGAATACTCCCAGGGATGGGGCATCCACCACCTCTCCTGGGCATCCTGTGCCAGTGCCTCACTCCCTTCATTGTGAAAAAAGTCTTTCTTACATCTAACCTAAATCCAAGTTCCTTCTGTTTAAAGCCATTCCCACTTGTCATATCACAACAGGACCTGCTAAAATATCCAGAACTGATTGTGCCAAAACAGTCTGCAATGGCTTCTGGTGAGGACAGCCAGTGTGTTTGGGCAGGTTATTTGTTGTAGGATAACTTTCACTGTGCTCTAACCTCTGTCTTGGGACTGAGTCTCCTTGAACTGCTCTGATCCAAGCCTGAAAATGCAGAGGAGTTGGCCACTGCATCCCCAGGGACCTCCTGGTTGTGGTGCTGGCTCAGCAAAGGAGCAGTTGGTGGGTGTTGGAATGAACTGGAAGAAGCCTGAAATTATTCATCACCCTTGTGCTGGATGCTTCCTCCTTTGCCATGAGCTGGGACATGTCCTCCTGCCTCATGGTCCTTCTCAGCTATAATGGACCTGCTAGATTAGATAGGTGATGGTGCTCACCTCGTGGGACACCCTTGGGAACCAGGAAAGGGGTGTAGGTACTGATTTTTCTGGGGCATGAGTGTAGGGCAGGTGTCTCCATCAGTGAACCGCTGAATTATGGTTGAGGAAAGTGCCTTTGAATGATAATAATTGTCCTGGATTCAGTGGCTGGTGACACATCCAACCTGCCAAAAGCTGCAGTGAAGGCAAAGTGGTACTGGAGGTGATTTAAGGAAAATCAAAGTAATGAGTCTTATAAACTGCCTGTTTTTGTCAGGGAAAGTACATATCAATAACTGCCCCATCTGTCTCTGCAGGGGAGCAATCAAGATAAATGCCGTGTTAGCAATTTCCTCAGACCAGAGGTGATGGGAATAAAAGCTGTAGCGCCAGGAGGTCGTGGGTGGGTGGCTGAAGCTGTTTGCTCCCTGTGAGCCAGGAAGGAGGCTGTGAGGCTCCTGCAGTGGGTCACTCCTCATTCCCAACAGCTTTTTGAGACTGTGGCTTTTCTACCAGACATCCCCCAGCACAGTGATGCCACCCAGCCATGGAAGGCATTGCTAGGGGCTGCCTGGCTCCCAGCAGGAGCCTGTTCTGTCCAAGATGTGGTAGTTAATAGAGCTCTGGC